AACGTTTGTAAAACAAAGACTTGCTTGGTTATTACTATAAGTAAAGACGTAAATTATAGTATGAATAATCTATATGTATGTCTGTTGTCGTTAGGTGGTGTAGGCGTTAGATGGCTGGGGAGGGTGGGGAGAGTTGGGTAGGGTCGTGGAGCAGGGGCAGTCGGGTGGTAGACGGGGGAAGATTAAATTTCGTGCTACACCGCTATACCGCCTCAAGTTCGCTTACGTTCATCACAGGCTGCAATTGCTTTCCAGTGAAATTCTATTTAAATTACATAGTGTTTTAGTATACATAGTAGTGATTATTGATATTTATAATTAGCAGATAATACATAGTGATCACAAAGATCGTCAGTTATAAGTAGTTACATAAAAAAAAAACAATGTAGTGAAAAAATTTCCACAAACGACTCTACCAGTTTAACACAAGTCTTTATTCCCGTCACGGGAGCCAGTCGATGATGTAAGCTAAATCTAGGGGAACCGCAACCATAAATTTTATAAGGAGCAGCGCCCCCTTGCAACACCAATGGAATACTCCTAGCAGATACTACAGTTTAAGAGCTTTTGGACTTCTGTTACCTTAGTAGATGAGGCTTTTCAACAGAGACTTGTATTTAAATTGTTTAAACTTTCGTGAGACCTTATTATAACTAATTATAAAAATGAAAATTATATATTTCGCCATTTTGGCGGATCCAGGTGGCCGCTTGCTCGTTTGCCACTTTATGTTATAAAAAAAAAAAGATTAGCTTTCGCCTGCGACTCCGTCCCCTTGGAATTAAAATAAAACAAAATTGAGTAGCCCATATGTTCTTCCAGGCTATCCTTTACTTCTATACCTAATTTTATTGAAATCAGTTAAGTCGTTTAGGATACAAACTTTTACAAAAATCCATCCATCTAAACTTTCGCATTTATAATATTAGTATTATTATTTGACGGCTATAATGTTCGTAAGATACGGGTTTTTTTTTATCACGGTTGGGTTGTTTTAGCTCCCGATATTTCGGCTCAGTTGCATGCGCCATATTCACGGGCTGACTGAAGTGGTGCGGTAGTATGTAAAAAAAAAGCGGGTAGGAATCGGTATTTTTTCACCGGGGTCCGAAACTGGTCGATGCCACCACCCAAAAAAAGAGACTTACTTTTTTAATGTTATAAGGTGGCGAACGAGCAAGCGGTCACCAGAATCCACCGAAATGAAAAGCGACCGCTGCCCATATGCATCCGCAATTGCAGATGCGTTACCTACCCTTTATTGACGGACAAGGAGACGCACATAGAAAGGATATTTTTCCTTCCTATGCGTCTCCTCCACCGTCAAATCCACTTTTCCTTCTCATCCATTCCTATTATGAAAAGGGTGGGAAGGAAAAGGACAAAAATTAGGCCTCCGGCACCATACAATGTTATTCGCCTTCAGATTCGTTTCCTGATTCCAGAGTCTCACGACGCCTTCTCTTGACCATCTCTTGTAGTGTCACTAAAATTACTGTAATAAAATCATAATATACCTAAATGTATGCATAAAACCTCTTAACTTTTCACCAGAGTTGTCTTACACTGACAGCGTGTAACTACAGTAAACTTTATCTTTGCTTTTGGGAAAATAATTTTAGGTGAGCCAATGTTGTATACAGATCTTTCTGTAATGGAAACCCAGTGAATGTGTTCTGTGGCCTCGATCGTTACCGAGGGCGTGGTTCTGCAATTACTTGTGATAACGCCATCTATTGGCACATTATCAAAACGCTTATGGGGACTGGTTTTAGGCTCTATATTTTTACGCCATTAAACTTAGGGGATAAATATTTTGGATAAAAACCCTAATGTGGGAAAGAGACCATAAGTTGCTGCCAACATTAAGGAAGCAAGGTTGCCATGCTTTATCATCATGTCATGTCATTTTGACATTTGTAATTGATAATTTGAGACATGTAAACAATAAAATAACGTTTTTATAACGTTTTTATGATGAAGCCGCACGGAAAGAGCTAGTAATTTAATAAAAATAAAATGTTGTAGGATTCAAAAGCTTTTAACAACCACGTTAATAATTTCTTTTTTTTCCGCAGCAAGGTTTTAAGCTTACTAGGCTATAGAAACAGTCGATAGAGAGCGCTTTTCTTCAGGGCCAAAAGACCCTTGGATTGGATTGATCGCAATTTGATTTTGACTCCAATAATTTTGAATGGAAAAATGAATTCATTTAAATATTTATATGAAGTACAATAACACAAGGTAAAGGTAAAGGTAGTGAACAACACAAAATACATTTTCTATATTTTTATTTTCATTTCCACAATAATGGTTATTATTATTTTAAAATTACCCTAGAAATAATCACAATTTACTTTGGCATAAAACATTTATATAAATATTTATACATTATCTGTATTAAAATTAATTACGAGATTTATCTGAGCTTAAAATTGCAGTTTATTTTATGTCTTATTCCTATGAATTATTATTAAATATGAAATTGTCGCTTAAAGTTAACAGCAAATGAAAGTCTTAAGAATTACGTACAATAAATAAGCTTTACGAAAAAGCTTGTATGGATGTTTGGTAGCATTTTAACACATTAATAATCATATTCATGTAGTTACTTCATCTATATGTAATAAAATTGGAGTGTCTGTTTGTAAAATGAAAGGAAAAATTCCAGATTTCGGGAAGATAAAGTATTTGCGTTGGTGATAAATAAAAATGCATCTTTTTTTGTCTGTCTATCTGTCCGCAAGCCCCGTCTTTTCCGGGTAATCTCCGAAACGGCAGGACCGATTTCAAGCGGACTTTCAATAAAGGGTAGCTGACATAGACGGGCATACTATAGGCTACTTTTTTATCTTAATATTGCGTGGTCGAAATCGCGTGTAACAGTTAGTATTTATTAAAAACCAGAAAGCACAAATCACTATTGTATTTGTTATTGTTCGAAAAATGGAATTTAAAAATTAACATTTAGCTGCGTTGTCGACAAGTTTTGTTTTTAAAAAAAGATATAAAATTACTCTAATTTCAAAAGCGTAACACTAAATACTTATTTATATTTCTGTTTAACGTTAAAATATGAGCAAACGTAGTCTACAGAGTTATTTTAAATAACATTATTTGACTAAATACGGACTCGAATGACTTAAAAACTTATATATCATAAGTCTGCTATTTCTTAATTTAAAAGCATATTTACAGTCACTACTTGATTTGGCACATGGACTCCTATTTCCTCTCATCGAGATATTTACAAGAACCATACATTGGAACCGACATAATACATGTAAGAACCTCATATTTTATGTCGGTACAAATTATGTCACTTAAATTACTTAAATATTACGATTACCTTCGATTACAAATGCTCTAACCATAAAGATAAACTATGAATGGCAATTAGAAGTTTTAAATGCATTGTTTTTGAAAGGTTCTTTCTACTTCTGTTCTATCTTAGGGTCTATTCTCTCATTTACAATGAGAAAACAACAAACGAGATAAGAAATTAAGGAACAAAATTTGTTTGAAAGTACAAGTCGACAGATTTCTACTTAAAATAATTGTAATACCAATTAATTTGTAATAAACTTCATTCTGTTTGGGTGAAATACTGAAATTTCAAACTGAAATCATTATTATTATCCTGCCTATTTATGTATATATCTCCGCATAATATATCCGTACTATACTAAACTTTTGCTTCGCTTTTCTCCGTCACTGGAGCTACTTTCATACTTTCTTAAAATTACAAACTACAACCGTATCTTAATATAGAATTTTACAGCCTTCCAAATAATAGCGATATAAAATTAAATTTAGAAATAAATTGAGTATAAGCAAATATTAGTGCAAATTTAGCTTATACTTAGTTTATTCCTAAGTTTAACTTTATACCTCGTTTATTTGTAAGGCTGTACGACTACAAATCTTTTCTCGTTACAAATATCTTATCCAAATAAGCTTGAAATTAGTTATAATCTTTCTTTTGCACATTTATATTAGTCTTTATATTCATTCTTCTAAGTATAATTAATACGTTATATGTATGGCTTACTACTAATATATACAATTTCTTCAATTTGAGACTTGGACAGCTACTATAACATATTGTATCATAACTATACTTAAATATATACTTAAATATATTTATTATTAGCTTGCAACACAATATAAAAAGCGTTAAAACCTTGAAAATATGTAAAATAGTAGTCATAGAGAAGAAGTACATATGTATGGAAAATGTTACAAATCAAATAAAAAAAAATTATATAAACTTTTCAGTATGACCTTTTTCTTGCCAACTAACAAAGGAGGGTGGTGTTTTTTCGGGCCTATAGTTCATTTCAAATATCTTGTCGGTCCAAGGTCAAAGGCACGTAGGACCCGTTCTATTATGGCGCTACGACTCGCTACATTTAAAATTGTGCTTTACGCAGCGACTCGCGCGAACATGTGTTAAAGTATTATCAATACCTTTGTGTGGCCTAAGCAGGCCGATTACGTATTTAAATCAAGGCTTTTAATTAATGATTTCGTCACAACATAATAATTAAGTTGATAAGCGATAAATTAATTTTAAATCTTAAATTTACTCGTAATCTTATTTCAGTACATCCTTTCTATTAATACTTTATTCTACAATTTTTATCTCTATATTTTTGGTGTTAAATATTATCCTACTTTAATCAATACAATGGCCGTAGTTGTAAGAAATACGAATACAAGTAACCATTATAACTACTTAATAGAGAATATGTTAATGTACATATTTGACTTGTAGCTAAATATTCTATGTGAAAAAAAAAATGTTTTTCCGAGCTACAAATATTTTGTCTAAAACACTGTAGTTTGTGCTTGAAAATACAATAAGAATAACTTACAAATGTTTGCTATCCCTTTGTTTAAATAAAGGAAAGCTTAAACTTAAAACATTTAAATACCATCCAGGCTATAATTTATATTTACTTTATAAAACGTACTTTTATCGTATCAATTTTAATTTACATATTACTATTATAATATAATCTAGTTATGGCGAAATACTTATGGTTCTACTTTGACAGCTGGTTCTCAAGATGGCGGCTCGGAGGGTGCGGGGGGTCCGGTGGGGGGCTGGAGCAGCTTGGCGGCTGCGGGAAAGCTCGTCAGGTCGAACCCGGGCGGCGGCACGATGCCTGCAGCAGACGCTGTGCTCTGAAGGTAAGCTACCAATCTGGAAAATAGTAGTAATGTATTTAAAAATACCAGAACGAACTAATATAAATTAATATTGTAATAAGGAAAGATTTTTAGTTTTGTAAGTTTCGAAATAACTCAAAGACTATTGTACCGATTTTCAAAATCGTTTCATCAATAAATAACTACATTACTCGGTGATAACATAAGCTATACTTATAATATTACAATTTTTATTTTAGCACGGACAGACGCGACCAACAGTTAGTTAAACATATGTGCAAGTCAGTTCTGTAAATGCAACACTGCGAATGAAGACGACAGTATATCTTATCTTATTTTCTTGTCTTGCTACTTTTTTTAATCGCATCTTATTTTCTTTTCTTGCTACTTTTTTATCGTATCTTATTTTCTTGTCTTGCTACTTTTTTCGTATCTTATTTTCTTGTCTTGCTACTTTTTTATCGTATTTTATTTTCTTGCTACTTTTTTTATCGTATCTTATTTTCTTGTCTTGCTACTTTTTTTCGTATCTTATTTTCTTGTCTTGCTACTTTTTTATCGTATCTTATTTTCTTGTCTTGCTGCTTTTTTTATCGTATTTTATTTTCTTGTCTTGCTGCTTTTTTTATCGTATCTTATTTTGTTGTCTTGCTACTTTTTTATCGTATCTTATTTTCTTTTCTTGCTACTTTTTTATCGTATCTTATTTTGTTGTCTTGCTACTTTTATTTATCGTATCTTATTTTCTTGTTTTGCTACTTTTTTATAAGTGTTTTTGTATCAATGTAAATTTGAATGTTTGAAGTTCTTTACCTTCGTAACTCGTCAAGTGCGCTGGCCTGCATCAGGATGTAGTTCTTGGCGAGGAGGAGGGTTGCTATCTTGGACAGCTTTCGCACGGACGGCGAGTGGGCGTAAGGTATGACTCCGCGGAGTTCATCTAGGGCGTCATTCTGAAAGTTTGTCAGAAACATAAAATAATTTTTAAATTCATTTATATTATTCAGTAGGGATGTGCATTGAAATGTTATTTGTTGGTTGTTGCGATTTTGTTGATAATAGAATGTAAAATAATTACCAGATCATGCATTCGTCTCCGTTCTCTGGCGTTAATGTTAAGTCTCACTGTCTTCCCTTGGCGCATCTTTTGTTTACCTTTCCCTTCTCCCATCGGTCTGTAATAATTTACAAAATTATGTTTCATAGGAGTTTAATTACAATCATGATAGTACCGTTTCATTAAAATTTATGCTTTTAAAATATAACGTTATTACAAAAATACTTTCTTCTCAATTTTTGGTCGAAGCCTTACGAACATATACAGAGACGATAAAACTTAAAATCGAAACATTACGATCGAACGTTTATTTCATTAAATTGGTCGAAAGTTCTACTATTATTTATCAAAACAATGGTACTTTGTCCATGTGTCATCTAAATTTAATTTAGAATATAATATTACATTTGGTGCAATGAATATCGTCTGTGGGGTAGTTTAACAATAGTACCCTCGTATTAGCGGCGAGGGAGCGCAGTCGCGCGGCGGAACAAGTGCTTAACTCCCCGCGGACGGCCTTTGTTCGAGCAACGTTAACGACCCAGAGGGATGATTTCTGACCAATAAATAGAATAGACTTGCCAATACAATATTTTACTATAATACTAATTTATATTGTACGAAATATTACACAGCCTACGAATTCTGTATGTTTCATTAATTTTGTTTACAATTCACAAACAATTTTTTTTTCTTTTAAGCTTGATCTTACTAGCAGTTCTAAATAAAGGATTTGAGTCTATAACGATTCTTCATATATAATTTTATTGCGTCCTGTCTATACCTCGCGTAAGTCTATGGTTTACAGTGATCAATGGAAATCATGGAGACTGCAAGTAAAATACGCATGAATATGGGGTGCACAGTTTATTGGCAAATTACGCACAGATGTTGCATTAGATGTAAATCTGGCCACATCACAACTGTCACAGAAAACGGGAAAATGTATTTAATTAAATAAACTTTTTATCGTACCAATAACAAAGTCATCAGTGTCTAAGAATTACAACAAAATAATTGATCTAAACTATTTTTTATGTTAGCCTATTAAAGTATACTTCGTATTAATGTTTAGATTAGGTATGTACCTAATATGACGTGTAGATCTGCAAGAGTAAGGTGATGATTAGGCACTTATTACGTACTTTTAGACTAGTTTGAGTTTTCCGTCCACATCTCTGTTGGAAGGTTCGTGATCAAGTACTCGTTTACACATTACAAAAAAAGAATTAAAACATAAATGGTGACGTATACACACATTATAACAGTTACTTTTTTTGTTATAAGAAATAAAAGGATAACAATACAATTAGATGAAATAAGAACATCATAAATAGAATGAAGAAGGAAAACGCAAAATATAATTTGGTGATACTGTCAATGTATAAATTGCTTTTTCACGTAATTATGTAAACAGAAGCCTCGACGAAAATGTAAACTAACCTTTGAGCATAGCTGGTTCCCGGCTCCGGCTGATTCTCATCCGTGGGATAGCAGTGCTGGGGAGGCGGAGGCTGCCCGCCCTGCATGTAGAACCCGCCGAGCCCCACAGCACCCAGCGGGGTCCTTCGCCCCGGCACCGACTGCGGCGGCGAGTGGGACTCCCCCAAAGGCATCCCATCCCAGGTCCTCCGCCCCTCCATACTGCTAACTTAGACTTAATTCATTACAAAATAGGATGTTTTTTTTTAAGTTTTTTTTTCGGGTAGTAACGTTGACATCGACAGTTGATCGCGGAGTGAAGTTGTAGCGGTCCACAGATCGATTGGTGCACGCAGCTGCGAGGCGGGCGGGGGGTGCGCACCCCTCTCATCTCGAGCGCTACGAGACGCGATTCTGATTTGTTTCGCAAAGAGCGCGTGTGCCGTACACACGACAACACATTAAATATCTCACCCCAATCATACAAATCAATATCATTTAATTTTATTCAATAGTGATATCGCTATCGTGAACTCTACATTTATTTAAAATCTATTTATTTACAGAACTGTTTAACGAAAATGCATTACTATAATGTCTTAATATCTAAGCTGTTCAATTTATGACGGTAAATAAAATTTTTACTATATGCAGGTACTTCTTTATTCACCAAGATAAATGTAGTTAGGGTCTCTACACATGTAATTCGGCATTTTAAAATTCCAACTCCACACTTGAAATATCGAGTTTGATACAACAAAGTGCTTATTATTTAAAAAAATACAGCTTTTAAACTAAAAACTGTTAGTTTTTATTATTAACAGTGTAAGTTTCGAGAGCGTCGGTGGCTCAGTGGTTTAAGCACTTGACTTGTAATCTACAGGTCTTGGCTTCGAATCCCGCCATGTACCAATGTGATTTTCGATTTTTCGAATTTTCATATGTACATAATTTGCCCGACGTTCTTACGGTGAAGGAAAACATCGTGATGCAACCTGCACATATCGGCGAAGAAATTCAAAGATGTGTGTGAAGTCGACCAACCCGCACTGGGCCAGCGTGGTTGACTATGGCCTAATCACCCTAATTTAGGGTAGGCTCCGAGCCCCTCGGTGGGGACATATAGCGAGCTGGTGATGATGATGATGATGAAGTTTCGAGAAAATGTTTCGATAATACTCCAGAGAGACGGCTATAGCCTTCATTGTATATTTTCGTTGTCCTTCTGAACACGGCCTTATCCTATATGTAGATGATTTATTCGACGATATAGCAATTGGGTTAACTGGATTCGGGATACAAATGTCTGTGTAAATCAATTTGTATCAGCTTTATAGACCGCATCGGTATTTATTATGATGTTTCGATGTCTGGACTTTCCCGAGCGTTTGTTTGAGGAAAGTCTGATATGAGTCACCTCATAATGAAAATTCCAATTGTATTTACTCTAATTTTAGAATGCTATTGCCAGTTCTACACAAATACCATGTGAAAATTGGGAAGTATATAAGACCGCAATTTACGTTCAGTTCTGATAGATTTAAAAGTTTATATTATAATTAAAATAGTCAATACTGAGAGTTTGTAGCATGCTTTAGCTATGATTTATAAAGATATTAAGGGCCTGTCGCACTACAGCATGATACAGGCTCTGATAGCTTAAAAATGCCATCACTATCTGATAAGGTAACGAAATCCGATATGTCCATCACATATTTTAAAAGTTGGATAGTTATCAGACAATTTACAATTTGGTGGGACGGGCCCTTAATAATAGTTTGCAGCCTAAAGTTTTGAACGGATCTAGATGAAATTCTGGAAGAATGGACGTGGACGGAGTCGTCGGCGAAAGCTGGTATTTTATAACCACAACATTTTCAATTACAGTTAAATCGGCCTAGTAAGATGGTTTTCATAAATTAAAACGAGATATTCAGTTATATTAGGAAACATTTATTATTTTAACTTAGATATGTTTACAATTTTATGTACAACTTACATCAATCAGTTCCAATTTCTTCCTTACCCGTTACAACCTCACAAACGCAATCTGATATTACCGATTGATTTCAAATATTTCTATCTATTTAACAGATATATTTTATTTTAAAATTGTTTACATTTACAAATTTGTCTCTATTCAACATTTATATACATACATTTGAATTTGAATCTTATGGTAAATAGATAAAGTTCTTTTCCAGAACACGATCAGAACTCTGCTACACTCAAATGTCTTTTCACAGCCTTAACATCTAATGACTAGACGGTGACTAAATAAACAGAATCGTTCATTACAATGTTAATAATATGGGAAACAATAGAACCAGTGCATTTAACATGCATAATAGAAATAAATTCTAACATATTTTGCATTCAAATTACATAAATGTAATTTAAGATTGAAGAAACCTTTAGACTGAATTAGGCACAATACTGAATGGATTTAAATCTCTTTAACTACAAACACGGTTGGTTAATAATTTCTTCTCTCAGTATAGATTTATCATTGAATGTGACATCTACATCTGGTATTTAAAAAAAAACAATTGTCAATAGATGGAATAAACGAAAAACTCCTATAGTTAATAAATCTATACATTTGATAACGCACCTTAAACTTCTATATACAGGATGTTTCAACATCGAAATATTTTAACTGTTAATATTTATATTAATAATACTGTATAAAAGTAGAAAAAAGTTATGATAAAATAGGCGTTGTCAATTGTTTTCTAGGTTGTTTTGAAAAATAATGTTAGGTTATAAATATTTACTAATAAAATTATTTTATTAGAAATTTACTTTTTCAGGGGTTACAACGCTTTGGTTACAATGGTTCAGGGGATGCAATTTAAAAAAAATCCAGATTTAATACTTCATTAAGATGTCAATTATTATACTATCATTATTATGTATAGGAATAAACTTTTGAAGTATTCCAAAATTCTTTTTTGTACTATTGTGTCTATTCACTTTGGTAATTTCTATACAAATAAAGAAAAAATAACATCTTTGGTATAAGAAGTGTAGTTTCTATGATAATATAGTATTTTGTATAATCAGAACATTTATAAATGTATAATTATAAAGATATTATCGCACATTGATATCTTTGGCACATATGTACAGGCGTCTTCGTCATTTATAACATAAAAAGTTTGCAACATCAAAAGATTCTATTATCTTCTTTTTAATTTCAATTAGCTACTGATAAATAAGATATTTACAAATTTATACGTTCATATTATTTTTTGCATAATTATTGTCATAATTAACAAATGGAACGTATTTTACATAGATATTGTAAACAATATTCACTTTGTTACAGTGATTTTTGATTGCCATTACACTTGTGTTGACAAATACTGTCATCTCTTACAATATCTTTAAAAAAACAGAGACAACGATATGTGCCAATACAAGTATCAGATATAAATTTTTCAGAAGCGATACACGATAAAGCTCTAACTACGCTCCGACACATAGAGTTTGATTTAACGACTAGTCACCAAATTTTTTGGTAAAAGATCCATGTCTAAATACTCCCCATATATCATATACCACTGGCATTACCTTGTAACGTTCACTTATATTACGCATTTCATAACTTTCTTAGTCTTTGTTTCGTATAAAATCATTTTTAAGATATACTGATCCGATATACTGGTATCAGAAATACGTATCGCACAATACGGTTGCTTAAATGAGTTTACTAAACATACCATAGTGACTGTACTAGAAATACGGTGGCAGACAGCTTTTATTGTATTCCATCATGGTAAATATAAACAATCGCATATCGTGATTAAAATGTAACAATACTTCTAGAACAGATACCAATGTGTTGCCACCATATAGAGTCTATCACTTGATCTTCCCTTCACCAAAAGTTTGTTTAAATGCCTGCTGAGAGCGGTGTGGGGGAGGTGAACCGTGAGGGCACCGGGAGGCAAGCCAGCCAGGCGCCGGCTAAGCATCAGCGCGGTCAGGGCGCGGCGGCGGCGAGCGGCGGCCGCGAAGGTGCCGGCACGCGCGGGCACGCCACCATAGATCCGCTGCGACTCGCTCCGCTCGAGTTCGCTGTGGTTCCTGAAGATAAAGGAAATTCTTATAAGTAATGTGAAATGTAGGACTTTAGTCATCAATAAAATAGCACGGCGTTTATGGTTAACGCCTCATTCTCTAACACATTGAGAATTCGCATAATGCGCCTAAAATAGAAAGGTCTTTAGAGCGAAAACGTGAATAATATATACTGTACGAAGATGGTCTCTTCCAAACATTAGAAAACTACGTTGATTGTATAAAATACTTAACTACTGACCTATTAGTGAGCCGAGCATCTTAGTGACGGAGAACTTTCTAGTACGCTGTGGTAAACGCACGTCGGCAAGGAGGCGGTCAACACAGCGGTACAGGTCACCGGAGTTGTCGGCCACGCTCGCCTCGCTGAAGGACGCGCCGTGCGCTTGGCTCATCGCCTGACCCTCCTTGGTTGGCACCTGAAAACAAGAGACAATTAAATATGTGTTTGAATAAACATGAGAGACATTACGGTTATAATATTTTTAAAGTAGATTATAGTTCTGTATTTCGATATAAGGAACAATTTTGTTAAGTTACATTTTTAAAGAATTAACAGAAATACTATTAAAGATTGAAAATTAGAGATATTTCTTAACATGTATGTAGTTCGCAATTTTGTAATATGATATGGGTACTTGACATATAAAATTAATATTATTTATTAACGTGTTATTGACATATTTTAATATAGGTGAATCGTAATAAAGATTATATCAGACAATAAACAATCATAAAGAGAACATACGGCGCATTATTTGTAAAATGCCGGGAGCGGTACAAATAAACATTATGAAAATTCTCTGTACCGATCAGACATCGTTATCGGGATCATGAGCTTCATCGAAAATAACGTACCGATCGATTCGCGTCGAAATCTTTAAATAAAAACCGAGACACCCAAATACATTTTTATATTAAAAAAATTACTCATATTCGTTTACAAACAAATTGGAAGATTCTAGTGCACAAGATGATTCATATATGAATCAACATTGCATTAAAATTTTGAACGCTTTTCACTATGAATTTAACACATAAAATTATTTACAAATTTCGTTCTCGTTTTATAATAGTAGGATAGTTGAATAGACAAATAAGGAAAGAGATACAAAAGTATAATATTTAGTGAGTTTTTATTATTCGTAAAGTGATTAAAACCAGTACAATTATACGTATGTTATTGTAATTTTATTAAACTAAAACTCAGATAACATATTATTGCCTAACCAAAAAATTATAAAGTGCAAATTATTTTATAAGTTTTTCAGTAAAAAAACTATCTTTTTCTAAAACATTCAGGATAACAGGAAATATTCGCTTTTACCATATAAAAGATTTTCAAGTAAAGTACAGTCGAACTTTGAATAGATTCTAGTGTAGCGAGCAAATCTCAATGGAGCTGACAAGGACGTTGCCTACGCCATTGTCTACGTGTCAAAAGTTTTGCAATATTGTCTCTGCCACGTGTATGTGAGACGAGACGAACAGAAAATGTAAATAATATTGTATACACGCATTCTTTTGTTTTCAGACACTGAACAGTTTTACAGTCATTTGTTTTTAATATGAAAGAATTGTTGCTCGCGAATTCGTCCGCATGAAATAATTAAATGTAGCCTATGTTACAGATAAATTACTAGTCTTGGGCTTAATCGGACATCTGCAAGTGCGCACCGTACTAGTACCATTGGGAAAACGTACTAGTACACCGTACTAGTACACACTTTTAGTACCCTTAGTACTTCAGATTTGTGAGAAGACAATAGCATGAATAGAATATAACAATGGTTATAGATTACTTCACATCAAATTTTAAGCAGGGTCAATCATATGTTATTAGCGAAAATAAATTTAAGTTATAAATGATTTAATCCACTTTTGATTCTTATTACCAAAGGTGGATGCTTCAATCTGGCAAATATACAATCAAATTAAACAACGAAGAAGCGAACACCGATATCTTGTAGTGTACTAAAAGTGCCAAATGTCCGATTAACAGGAGCCGTTGGGTAACGTTACTTTTAGTACAGTGCTGAGTAACATTACTTTTTAGTACATCGTACATGTACTACACAAGACTATAAATTACCATTCTAACTGTGAGAGATTTTTTAAAAACGGCCAGGTATTTTTTGAATCCTTTAAATACATACAAAAAATACAAATATTTCCTCTTTATAATATTAGTATAGATATGTTTTGGAATAAGTTTGAATTGAAACCTTGATATTTTTATTCGACTTCATTCAACCTAATCATCTATGTTCCTGTCCTTGACAAGCAATTAGCGTTTACTAGTAATGCGTCAATGAAAGTAAATGATACTTATTTTGTCCTTGAGTTTTGTTAATGTTGGATTAATATTAAATAAGGCTTCAAACAATTAAGAAATGAAGACGCCTACGTAATGGCATTTACTGGCAATTTGATGAAATTAAAGATTTGATCTTTGAAATGTTTGTAAAGGGCATATAATTAGATCTAAAACTTTAATGACGGTGCTAAATTACTTAAAACATAATGCTTTTAATCTATACTAATACTAATAATATTAAAAAGAAGAAAGATTTGTTTTTTGTATGTATTGAAAGAACTCAAAAACTACTGGGCCGACTTTTAATTCTATCACCGTTAAAAAGGTAATTTATCTGTGAGTAACATAGGATACATTTTTTAATTTCACGCGGGCGTAGTCGCGAGCAACAGCTAGTGAAAAATAAATTAAAAAAGTTCCTTACCTGTCTTAAGTGATCCAAATCAGTCTTGTTTCCGAGAAGTGCTAGAGGCATGGCGGCAGAGGGCGCGCCGTGCGCTGGGCTGCCGTGAGGTGGGTTCTTCTTTAATGTGTTTAGTACTTCTGTAGCGTATTCAAAACTGCTTCTGTCCGTTACGGAGTAAACTAATAAGCAAGCGTCTGCCCATTGGATCTGTAACAATAATACGTTAACTGTCAATACAGTAGTTCGTTAAATTTTATAGTAAACTTAATTAAAAAGCTAGAAAAATTAGTTTATACTTTCATTTTTATTTCGTTAGAATATTTCTCATACTAATATTATAAATGCGATGTTTGTTAGAGTTTGTAGCCTAAACGACTGAACGGATTTCGATGAAATTTGTCCTAGAAAAATACACAGGCTACTCACTTTCGTTTTTTTAATTCCACGCTGAAGGAGTCGCGGGATAAAAGCTAGTTATATATATGAATACAAGTATATTTACAAGTTTCTGTACCGTCCATGTTTTTTTTTTCGAGTTTCACATTCGAGCTACTTTTTCAGGTGAAATTCACAAAGAAAAAACTTGAGTACAAAAGTACTTTTTTGTGCAAACTGACAAAGCGTCGACAAAATAGAAGCAGACAGACTGGCTGCTAGGACGTACTAGATATTAGTAACTACGACCATAAACAGTGAAATGTTTTTATTTCACGTCAAGAAAACGTGCGTTGTAATAACAAATGTTCACGATTTATTTGATAGCGTTTTTCATATAGTTTTGCTAGTTTTAAACCGTAACCGAACGAACTTGTTTCAAACAGACATCGATAGAAAACCATAGTATCGCACTTATTTTGGCTATGGCATCTACACGTAAGTACTATGTTTGAATTTATATGGATAAATTTAAAGCAATTGGAGCGTCATGGATACTTGTGCCACAGATTAGACAAAATCGTACGCTTTACTCATGTGCTGGTACTATTTGTCTAGACTTGCGCAAGTAAAGTTACGTTTAAAACTATTATTAGTTACGATAACAATATACGGTAACAACTGTGTTGGCGTACTTCAAACATTCCTGAATAAATCCCTAACACAAATGACCTTGTTAATTCCAATCTTTCGTGTTTAAAAAGATATCTGTGCAACATCCGTGTTCGAAAATATCTTGGCAATGTGTGAATTTTGTTAATTAGCATAAGTTAGTAAACGTAGTTATAAGGAAGTAGCAAAGTAACTGTGCCAGGATTTAAAACTGGGAAACTACAAACTACCCACGCTGTCAGTCATTTGTTTAGCTTTTTGTGGCGCTTTCAAAATACATCATCATGCGATAAATTCCCACAAAATTGCTTTAATGTGCAAAAATACAAGTATCAAACTTTGCTGACAATTGCTGAATACAGGTTAAGCAATGTAGAGACTGATGGTGATATAATGCAATATACAGTATGAATAATTTCACGTATGTCTAAGTTTTATGGATACGTAAATTAACCGAGATGTATAATGTTCACTAGTAAACTGTTCGACTTTGACTTTTCTGAATGTTTTATTGTTAAGCATGAGAGCTATACGTGAGGTACGTTGTATCAAATCGCTATCACAATTTAATAGCCTCTAAAGTTTTCTTAGTTTCACGGTCTTCCTCATACGTTTTTAACTCCGGAGAACATAATAAAGAGAGCATAGAATTTTGTTTTCATAGATATTGAACTGCTACGTACAACTACTATGTGAAAAATAATTATATGTATACTGTATCTACTTTTTTCTGTGAATTTCTTGCGTCTACAGAAATATACTAAAACGTGCTATCTCTGTTCTTGGCGAACTGAAAGAAAGAGATTGCAATGTTTTTACATATTTCTCGGCATTTGAATGTCACATACAATGACTTGCAAGCCTCTCAATGTTTAACAATATTATTCTTTACATCGTATAAATTCACCACCAAAAAACGTATAGTCATAACTGTTATATGCACCATATGGTTTTAAAATAAGTTAATACTGAAAAAATAATTAATTTTGATTTATAGTAATATGGCATTACATATAGAAATATTCTCATACATGTGGCTATGCATGATTAATTAGTGTGTCGGAGTTGGAATTCTTGTTTAAATATAGCTCTGGAGTAATTCACGGGCGCACCCTGAATAGTAGAATACGAAGCGTTTCCGCCATATTGTCATTATTCATCTGTTCTTGTTTATTAAACGAAAGCTTTATATCGTAAGAATGAATAAATTATTCTTAATGATGTTTTTAATAAATGGGATTGTTCCGATGTTAATGACCTGTTACAAAATAAAAATTCGTTAAATTTTAATAAAAAAATATAGTATAAAAGTAATTATATATATTGTAATAAATACTGAAATAACTAAAAAATAATGGATGTCTTCCACAACATTTATTGTAAGTTTTCAAGGAAGTATTAAACAATTTAAAAATATTAAAAAACCCATTTATATTTACCTTTTAACCGTTATATTACGAAACCAAAAACAAATATTATTTCTCTTTGGCGCCTAATAATGGCCAGCAAGAATTATGCGGCAGACTGATTTATAATGTCAATAATTCAAGTAAAAAGGAGGATAAAATATTATCTACATTTTCAAATTTAAAAATTTTCCGTATCTATTTTTCTTCTGTGAATTAATCAAAATAAAATAAAGTTCTAAGGGACTACAACTCCGACTATAAAAAGGACCATCAAGTAACAGCTGAATCGTTTTTTTTAATTAGATACGAGAAGTAATTCGAATCTAGAATGCCTTATTTTTACAGCGGCGTTAATGCGGAAACATTATTTTTAACTGACGATAGCCGAGGCTCGAATCAGAAATAAAACTTTTACGTTTTGCGATTTTTGGCAGCGCTAATCCACAGGATTGAGGTGAGTGCGGACGGCGAAAAATTTATAAAAAGTTAACAAGTACAAAGAACTAAACTTATACGCGGTTTCGTTTGAACAATGCAAGTCGTAAACAAAGATTATCAAAATCACACTCAAAGAGTAAAACGTAGAGTACAATTATTACCGAAGCAGTGTAAACAGTGTGAGTCACAGCGTGGCCCGGTCACTAGGACGTAGTGTTAGAGCACATTTTCCCGGCGCTAGAATTATTAGTGGCGATTAACCCAGTTGCACTGACATAAAACAGTTTCAGACTTCGTTTAATCTTTGATTTGTTTGAGGAAGGGTCCACTACAACATTCTTCAGAATCGATCCCAACTTATTACTATAGTAAAGACATATAAATGTAACCGAGTCAAATGGTAGACAAGACGAATGCGAGCTCAGTGATAAGTGGGTTAGCTAAATCAAAGAGCTCGGGAAGAAATCCGGAACTAGGCTACTTGTTATTCAAGCGTGTATCCAACGTATAACTAATACGCAATAAACATTTCCTGATGTTTTTAATATGTTTATACGATTCCCAGCGAAAACTGTTACACTTATAATAGTTCCGAAGGTGATAAAAGCGTGATCCAGCCAGTGTTGTGATGCTCTGCGAATATAAAAGTGCAATAACATGGCCTCGGGAATGAATCTGGTGAAATCGCAGTTATTCTCGACTGTGTGATTTAGTGAGCGTGTTGTTGTTTAGAGCGGCCAAAAGGTCGTTCAACGTTTCGAGTTCGCACTTGTTTTGTGAAGGTGAGGATGATTGACTGCTCAACAAGGTCCCGGCTTGAACTGGATTAACCTACATACGAAAATTTACATTGCACAAATGGACTATCGTAAAGATATCAAGTCTCTAGCAAAACCTTTACTAATACCATTACTACTGCCTCAGTATAAAGTTAGAAGAATTGTTTTTTTACCTGTTCTGCTGGGAATTTGTCAGTGTTGGAACCGGAGACGTCAATGACCTCCAGTTCAACTGGTGTGCCATTTATTGGCACCGTCTGTTTGTACAGGAGATCTGTTTAGAAAAAATATCAATTACTTAGTTATATGATTAATTTTGAAATAAACAATCTAAATAATTACTAAAAAAAAAACAAAAACTGCAAACCATATGAGTATTACGAAATCATAACTATAATTTTTTATTCTTTTATTTAAAAACCTTCATTCTTAATTCAAAAATTCAATTTTAAATAATAATTAAAATTGTTCCAAATGCATAAATTGTAGTAATTTACTAACCTGTATTTGAATGATATTCTCCAATGTATCTCCTCGTCAGATACCGAACGATCAAAGCTGTAACAAGAAAGTAACTTTGAGTACAACATTCATTGTTATCAGATAATTTTAAACTATCTATGATTTCGCAATAATTAAATACTACGCTATACTAAAGCAAGGAAATAGTGTCATTATATTTATATTTTGTATCATGAGAATTAAAAGCGTAAAAGATATAAGTTCAACATCCCAAGTAGACAGCGGTGAATCAATTATAAAACATCTGCTACCCGCATCAGATGTGTGAGCCAAGGATTTTTTTGTTTTCAAACAATAGAGCTACGCCCCATTTTATATTTCTAGCGCACACGCTGGCTCTATAAGCCAAAACATTTCGCGTATTGTTAATTGTTTTAAAACCTGGCAATCCTGATTGACATTTACGAGTCGCGAATATGAAAATGGATTGATTGTTTTAGGTTTTCAGTTTGTTTACGAAAATCCGGTCGTAGTTCGTGTTACATCATTCGTTGATTCGGTCATTCCGTTTGTTGTGGTTTATGTAATTTCATGTAGGTCAGCCATCTTGTTTCCTTTGCTTATCTCGAACGTTCCATTTTCTAGGTTATGTGAAGCAATTGCAGAGGAAATTGAAATGTAAATATCAAATATGTGATGTTATATTTGCCTAACATTATGAGTTCCGAAACCTCCTAAATGTTAAGTTCTTCACCGGAACTTGTTAAAAAGTTCATTTCTTGGAATTACTTTCGTTCGCTAATTGATATGGCTTCTTTATATTTGAATGATGTAATAGACAAACATTTAGGTAATAAGCTTTATTTTTTTTTGAATTACAAAAACAAAAGTGGAACAAAGAAGCAAATTATGTTCAAAACAAAAAGTTCTGACCAAAGTCCTAAATAAATGTTGTATGAATTTGTACAAATATCCAGACGGATTAACATAAACGTAAAAGAAAGTAGAACTGAGCGTTGCTTCATGTTTCATAAAATTATAATAAAGTGAGCACACTGAAAATACTTCCCGTCGACCGTAAACCTTTCACATTATGATAGGCACTCACCGCCATTTGGGTCGCGAGATGTAATCAATAAAAAGTCGGAAGGTTTTAAAAGAAAAATAATTTATGTCACATTAAAAGGTTTACCCAAATACTTTCAGTTTTAAGTATTTAAAACGAATATTGTGTTTCAAAAGAATGGAAACAACTGGGGTAGTCATTTCGGTAATGAAAGACTAACTTAGTAAGAACAGATTTGTAGCGAAAGCTTCTAGAACAAACAGATCTGGCAACTGACTTTTAAACTGATACCATCAACCATAACTGTTAAAAGAAAAAAAAAACACTAATATCACGCAATTATTTTAATTGCTATGACGTCAACAGCTAAGAATTCTTAATGGAGCACAGTGTGAAGTAAATGTGGTAGTAATTATAATGAATGGGGGATAAGTGTTAGGTATTTTGTTTACGACGCGACGTGTCTCACCTGACTTGCCGACGCGGGTGCTCCCGATGACGGCGATGCGGACACGCGGCGGCCCGGCACGCTCGTCCCTCATGATTCTGATTTATACTCGACTCTGAAACGATAAAACTTATTGAAGTATATATTTTTTTATCTCTCTACCTGCCAGGAATAATTTATACACCAACATGTGCCGATGTCGATCTATTTAGATTATTTTATTTAATACAGCAGTAAAAATAGTTTATGGCGGAAATGCGATAATCAACTCGAGATATTTTCAAAGGTTTTTGTGGTCTATTCGTACGCTACAATTGTATTAGTTTTTTACTTTACTTTGTCAAAAATTTACTACTCTGGCCAGTATTAACTCTATCTAGTTTTTTATTTTATTTTATAAAGCAGTAAAAACTGGTTTATAACGGAAATGCGATAATCAATTTTGTATATTTCGAGTGTAATTTCAATGAGCTTTCCACACATGTGGTTGCGATTAGCTGTTTAATTACATATCAAGAATTAAATCACAATGAAGTCGGTTGCTTCGTTGGCAGTCATGACTTCCGTTTATTGGGTGCAATTGGATTTGTATGACGTCAACATCCCTTTATGAACGGACTGCGAGCGTCACAGTACTGTCTAATTTACTATTTTTGTAAACACTAAAGTAACTTTACAACAAGTGACGGTGGAAGCTGTGAATGGTCTCAGGTGCATCGTTACAAATAGGTATTTCAAATATGCGACTACATGCCAAGACTGAAATAATGTAGAAGAAAATTTAAAGTATCGTTAAAATACTTTCATACAGTGTTGAATGAAATCTTGTCGAGAATCATTTTAAAATATTTAGTTTAGTCACCATAGCCACAGAGAATGTTACTTCTTGTTTATACTCTGTTTATTCCTGAGTTTAACTTTATATTCCGTCTATTTGTAAGGCTGTACTCGTAGATCTCGTACCATAGAGTATTGAAAGAATCGTAGGTTTGTAAAAATAGACGTTAGCGACAAAACAATATACGATTGTATTGAATGACATATAAGGTCATGCGAAGTATTAATAGAATATGGACGGCTTGCGTCAGCGCCGGCTCGACCTCAGGTTGAATAACCCTAGATGCGACTAATTTACTCTCTTCTTACTAACAATTAGGAAGCACTACGAGTTTCATTCATTCACAAGTTCAATTTTGTGAACAAATAACATGCCCTTTTTGTATTTGGCCATAGATTAAAAAAGTCACTAAACTTTTATTAAAATATCTAATATCGCAGTACTTTGACATCCATCAGCGTAGGTTTTATAATTCTGAGTACTACTATATGTTTAAATATTAAACGTGTAACTGCAAAATTTAGTACTAACAAGGTGCTCACATAATTATACTTTTTTGATCTTGTTTTAAAAGGAATAAAAATCAGTTAAAAAACTTTTGGCAAAAGTACTTGTTTGGCATTGAAATAAAGATGTCTTTTAAGTAAAGAAATAAAACAGGTTGTTTACTGGAAAATAAATAATAAACTTAAAATTGTGTGAACTTTGCGACGGTAATATTTTGTAACAAAATACTTCGTGTCAAATAAAAAAAAATCTTTTTATTGTTATCTTTTAATCTGTGGCTTTGTTTCATCGTAATCATCCACCCTCACTTAAATCATAATGATAGAAATCGACTTAATTTCAAAATTAAAACCAAACAGAAATCACCGTCTAGATTTATAACAACACAAGAATATGAAATTAATTTATTTTCTATTTAACATGGACTATTTAGAATACTTTTGTCTTTTCAAATTTATTATGTTTTTGATAAATATTATCCACGGAACCCTAAAACCAGTGCGTAATTGTCGCGCGACGGAACAAGGATTTATTTACGTTTGGCGCCAATATAAATATATTTCGGTGGCGTCTGAATGCGACTTATAAAAAACGTGTCGCCGACTTCCCATCAAAAACGAAGATTTTTTTAAAGCCATAAAATGTAATTTTAGTAATTTGTTCGCAGAATAGAACGATAAGGTTAATTCGTATTATTGCTACAATCAGAAATCTTTTAATCGTTAGTTGAGTTACCATTAGTGTAGATTTGTGTCTTGGTCCTACACTAATCTCTTTGTAATCATTAACTGTTTGTAGTAGTTTATGTTATAAGTGCTAAAGGCTAGTGAAACGTCAACATAAATAAATTAATTAGTAATTTAATATGATCTGAAGATTGTTACAATAACACGACGAAAGAAAACAAGGAAACATCACAAACACAAAACAATAAAGTTATACTCCGAGGGGAAGTTAATCGATTCGATCTGACACAAGGTCTGGCATTTGTGCAACATTATAAGGCTTAGTGATATTGAGTGTTGATCCTCAGAGACCGATACATAAGTACCGTAAGCTCATTTCGAGGACGTGCCCTTGCGACATCTGTCTACCCTGAATGTCTCCCATGCATTCAAGGTCCGAATACTGTTCCTTGAACACGAACCTTGATATCGCTACGTCAACATATTGATTATTACAAGGTTATCTATAGATTATATAGATTGTGTTGATTATTTTGTTGACGATAAGCTTTAGGAGATTCCATACTACAAATGTAATAGAACAATTATTTTTTTTATGAAGTACTCAAATAAAAATAAGATGCAACACTAGTTTCTTTTTTAAATATTCATTTAAACGTAGTTGTTAATATTTATTGGATTAATCTATAGTTAGTAAGGTACTGATTGCACGGTAATGATCTTTTAAAAGGAAATTAAAAAGAATTCTGACTAATTTAAGTGTACATAGTATATCATTAATAATTGTAAGAATGAAGTATTAGAACAATAGTCCGTCTGATTCGTACAAATTTCGATCGAATTTATTAGCTGATAGATTTTTATAGGATATAGACTTTCGTAGGATTAACTATTGCAATATTTTTGGCCAAGGTAAACTGTCAGTGACGTCGATCAACTTGTTTATTTATAGACCTGAAATAATATCTCCTATATAATATACTTTGATAAGATAAATGCAACGTCCAAACATATTAGGTGATAGCATAGATATATAAGCAGATACATAATTATTCGTTTGAATGTTATTGTTTGAACATCAGTAATATGATATATCAAAATAATAAAATTAAATGTGCTAATCTCGTCAAATTGAAATTTGTAATTTAAGTCATTATCCTTAAAGGTATTTTAGGCTCTTACTTTAGTGAAATAACGAACCTTAAAAATTATTTTCGATGATAAAAACATTCAAACATTTTGTTTTAAAACACCTCAATAAACTCCTACATTGCTATCAATCTTCATTCATGGATTCACAAAAATATAAACGTAAAGTTATTAATATAGCCGAGGTTAAAACAGTTAACAGGTATGAAAAAGAATAAAGTTTCGAATATACCTGAGCTTGACCTATAATACTTTTTCACTGTCGCGATACCGGCCCTGCGTTCCATCACATCGGAACCTTTGTTCCATCAGACAAACAAAAGTTCAATGTTAACAGTATCAAACTAAATTTAAATTGTTATTATAAACACAAGTCTTTTACATTGGCTTGTATCTCGTTCTTTTTGATAGAGTATTTTTGTATACATTATTCATCCGGACTCGACGAACATTTAATGTAGAAGTAACATTTAAGAGTATGTAAGACACGATGTTATGACTAAGGGCCGGTAGATTCCTGATGAAAATTAGAATACACATGAAAGATTTACAAGGAGTTGTAGGTCGATTTTAAGGTTGTAAACTTGACCTAGATTCGGACCTAACAATACTGTTTCACCCAGTTATTGCACAATGTTTGGCCGAGTCGTGTGAGGTTAGGCTGAGAAATTGGGCTAATGAGGACTTTCGACTGCGATCTCGTATCGTGTCGTATCGTTTTATTGTCGTCCTTCGCCTATATAAACAATTTTTACGTCATGTTTTCAGCACAAAAACCCTCAACAACCGCGGAGCTAATTCGCGAATTCTCAACCACATGTTATTTCGACTTCATTAAAACGATAGCCATGTCACGGATTTTATCGACCAATAAAAAACTAGAGAATGTAAATCAAAACTTATTTTTTTTTCTAAAGTTTATTTTCAATTTGTACGCCTTCGTAGAGTAGTTACGTAGGAATTTTAAAATTAACATTTCATGTACAGACTAAAAAACCATCTCATAAATTGACACAAAAAAAAACTTAAAATATTTAACATCTTTCTGAGATCACGTAATATGGCCACAGATCTTTTATACATTGAATATGGCGCTGACTATAAATATACTGAAACTAACCACTTGTTTTTTTAACGATTGTACAAAGCATATCTGTATAGTAGCTGCTAACAAGTGTAGTACATTGACCTCTATTGCCATCTTTAGGCTGCAATCCCAGCGCAAGCTTTGTTGGTTCCATTTCCGCATTGCTATGCGAATATAGATCTTAAGTGCTGTTAACTGTTCAAGTTTGTTTATCGCTTCTATATTAAACCAATTGAACTATTTGCAAGAAAAAGTATCTTCTAAATAACCAAGGAAGATGTTGAAAGGGTACGCATTTCTAATGGCTAATTAGATTATCATTAGTGAAAGAATCAGTTATTTTTTTTTAATTTTTAAATGACAAAGCATGGTGTCACACTATCAACTAGATCTAAATTAATATAGTGACGACTTGTATCTATTGATGTTTTAAAAATAACTGCGGAATTTCAAATAAAAAGTATTTTAACAGTTTAAGTGTCTTTGCAGACTGTTCACGCGGAAGTGTTTTAATTTTTTATCTAAACACTACCCAAGGTCTTCAATTTAATGTGTAAACGCGTTGTTTTTTCGTAGCTTCGTTTGAAATCCCTAATACCTTTGCTCGTATTCATTTTATATGGGTAATAAAAATGTGACCTTGTAGTAACGGTTATAGTTTCTGCCCTGTGTAAGACTCTCAAACGAACATGAAAGACTTACCATCCTACTCAGGGTCTTTTGATTTTAGCAACACTACACTAAATCATGCCCTTAGCGCTTCTAGACAATGTTGTAATTGTAATAACGTAATTATACTCAGTCTACCGATTCCCGCCAGAAATGGTGCGCTTACCCTTAATACTTTTGATTGACAGATGTCATAGGGACGGGACCTGTACGCCAAAGATCTAGTGTTGCGCTGCTACTGCGGCACGGTACCGATTTCTTCTTAACAGTTCCCATATAGCGTTCCTGGTGGTTGCATTGTAAAATAATCATTGATAAGCTAAATAAACTCTGTACTTTTTCTATCAGCTCTGCTTACCTCATTATTTTAAGATTACGCAGTTTTTAATATAATGTAGGCTACGATAAAGTGGTGTTATACAAAACATGTACGCAGTTATTTTAATGAACTGACTGGATAGAATATAAACTAGCGATGTGGGCGTGCTGCAACCAATGTGTAATTCATTGAAAATTTTCCGATACATACAAAACAGAATGTATTTCTGTATAACAACAATTTGTACACATCAAATGTGACTGAGTTACAGATACTTGTACGTTTGCTTCGGATTCAGTCAGATAGAGGATACATAAAACTGTTCTAACTTTAACATTCTTAAAAATACATCATGCATTTGTTTAGATACGCACGTACTGAGATCAATCCCAAATTATTTTTACACACTGATGAATTTATGATGAAGAATGTATTCGATACTATGCTATTTTGTCAATAAAATGTGTGTTTTTGAACGGAAAGGATTTATTATTAGTAAATTAAGATTTGAATAGGGTTATAATAGTGGATAAAATAGCAGAAAAATTTTAACATTGTGGTGTAAATGGACTCAACAAAACATCACCTTTTCTCTGCTAAAATTAAGAGTTTTTTTGCAATAAAACAATTTTAAATGAAATCAAAAGATGAAAGACGCTTCAAAAGCGAATGATTTGATTTGTGATTGATATCAGTGGCCGTCTAAAATCATTGCGTAGTCGCTTCGTTACTCATAAATCAAATCAACTGATATTCTTAGACGATATACTAATAAAAAAATAACTTTATTGACGAATTCCACAGTTGAAGTATAATTTCACTACTATTAAACAGAACGTTTGTTTTTTGTTTATATTGTACGATCGAATATTTCTCAATAAAGACGCGTCTGTTGCGTAAAAAATATTGAAACGCTTCCTTTGAATTTAACTTTTCTTTTTAATATTTATTGATTGATTTAATTTTTTAACTATCTTAACGAATGTGCTTTAAACTGATTTGTAAACGTCTTCATCGTACTAATATACTAAATTGGAAAGTTTAGATGGATGGATGTTTTTTAGAGTTTGTAGCCCAAACTGCTGAACGGATCTCGTTGAAATTTGGGGTAGATGTAAAGGATAGTCTGGAAAAACATATTGCTACTTGTTTATTTTTAAAGGCAAAAGCTAGTTTGAATTATGTGTTGTAATGAAACGTATATAAAGCGTACATACAATGAGAACTTGTATGTAGCTCTGAGTATTCGCGTAGGTTACATTACGTCATTTTACAACCGCTGAGAGCTGTAACTCATCATGCGGTTGGCAATGTCGAGATCCTTGGCTTTGATACACTGCGCTCTTTATCGCTTGTCGATAACAACTCCAAATCAGGAGATGTTTGTGTTTAATTGGATTCGATTATAAATTAAATAGCTTTAATATAAATCTGTTTAATTTAAATTATTCTAATTACCACTATGTAATATTACGATATATTCTGGTCGACTACTTTATGTACGAAATTAAATTACTATAATATACTACACTAGCTGTTCCCGTGCGGTTTCATCCGCATGAAATTATGAAAATTTTATTTTATTGTTTACATTTGTCAAATTATCAATTGCAAATGTCATACATGATGTCAAATCATGGCAACCTTGCTTCCTTCATGTTGGCAACAACTTATGGTCTCTTTCCCACATTAGGGTCTTTATCCCAAATGTTTACCCCTAACTTAACGGCGTGAAAATAGATATCCTAAAGCGTGAGATAAGTGTAGGGCTTTTTATTAAAAAAAGAGTTTTCGAAAATATGCTGAGATTGCTGACATCTTAGGCAACAAAGAAGTGTATGTTTACGCTTTTTTATAATAGTATAGATGTAAGTTAGGTTCCAATTACCAACTTATTTTGCTAACAGGGAATACTAATTTCCAGTTTTTTTTTATGTTTTTCTTTTCAATTAATTTTACTACTTCAGGATCTGTTTTCAACGTATATTAAAGCCTAATCACTCCATTAACGTGCCTGGAAAAGTACTTGACGGCCATTTATCAGTACAAGTGGCTCGGGAGTTTATTCTGTCCGCGTTTCAGGCAGATAATGAAAATGTATGAACAGCGGGGAGCCTACGCGGCGCTAATGCCGGCGCTAGGAAAATACCGAGGTATTTGGTTACCTCGTAATTACTGTTGTGTGTTAAATGTTAATGTTTTATTTTTAAATGGTTTGAAATATTAATGATTTTAACTCTTAAAGGAATACTAATTAATTAAAATTTTTAACAAAAGGTTACTTTTCAGCTTTTGTAAAAGTTGAATTACTTAATAAAAAATTAGCTTACAGATCTATACTAAAGCATTACTAAGTGACCATGAAACGGTTAGCAGTAATATAATTTTAAGTTTGTTTTTCTTAAACTTAAGACAATAATTTCTTGGCATTTAAAGCCGCCGCCAAATCGCTTGGAATTTTTGAGTCGCTCGTTTGTTTCCATAAGCCGTACCTGACCGGCGACTCCTTGGCGACTCAGCTTATGATCTAATTTTTGAATTCGGAACTCATTAATTGCAACGGATGCTATTGAAAATGGCGGCGGTAAAACCACACTGCTCCGTATACGAATTTAAATTTGGCTTAATCCCTTGATTTGGGGTAAATAAGTACTGAAATAAATGTAATTAAAGTAAATAATTTGCTACTATTTTTGGTTAAAATCTATATTAATATTAAAAAGAGGAAATAATTGCTTTTTTGGATTTTTGTATCTATTATAATAACTCGGAAAATACTGGACCGATTTCAGAAGTTCTTGCACCATTAAAAAGCTGTGTTATCACTGAGTATCATAGGCTTTATTTTAATTATTTTTTTTAATTTCACACGAGCGAAGTCGCGAGTAACAAATAAACTAAAATCGCGAACAACACGAAGAAATTCTACAACATAGCCAGACACATGGTCCGAGCAGTCCATACCAGATTTAGGCCCGAGTTTGTTTTGATTGTTGAGATCATATTGCATCTGTAAATCTCTGCGGCTTTCTCTGAGAGTACATCATAATATTGCGTACGAGAGAACTGACTCACATGTTTGTAGATCGTACATCTTAGCAGAGTTATAAATGCGATTGTTTGGATGTAGGGATGTTCATTACCACATAATAAAAAAGAGCTAAACGATTATGATCTATATTACATTTGGAATAGAGATAGATTATTATTTAGAATAGGATATAGGCTACTTAGGTTTTTTAATTCCGTGCGAAATGTGGAAATAATATTTCATAAAGCATATCCCTTCCGAAAACCGTGCAGTCAAAGTTCAACAACAACTGTGCAATATCGATTGTTGCGTTTAAAGGTCAAACGTCGGCACGTGTCGGTGAAATATTCCAGATTTTGAGATAGATAAAATATTCAGTTTATTTTTAAAGTTTCACATTTTACCTTATTAAGTACACATATGCAGTCCAACTGCATCTTGAAAGGTAAGTGTTATGTTAATGTCATTTAATATTTCAAATAAAATGTTAAAAAACGCTTTTTAAAATTCCAGCTGAATAACTAAAAAACAATAAATATAAGCGGCAAGAACGCAATCAGGTCTTTTAATGTTTATTATAGTTTTTTTTTATTTGAATTTTTCATAAATAATTAATAATTTATTCTATTAAGATATATAAAAGGCGCACACAACAAGGTGCATTACAACAGTTCGTTGCGACAAATGTAAATATTCGTAGCAACTACTCGTAGCATGCTACTTGATTTATGTGAAATGATGTTATTTAAGAAATATTACCTCCATATACATTAAATTTATCATCTAATATTACCATTATTGCTATAAATCATAATACATTTACTTTAAACTTCATGTCTGACCTGATTATAATACTAGATATTCGTAAATATTGGTTTACAATAAATATAAAAAAAATACATTGTCTTTAATATTTACTTAGAAATTTTTACTGTCTACATGTTACAATTCCAAAACAAAAAACGTCGTGTCGTTGCACTGTCAAACAAAAGACTCGTAATATTAAAACGAATGTATACAACATCAATCTGTAAACTTTTTCGAGTTTTTCTTGTATCTTTTAGTTAACAGCTAAAATAAATTGAACTTACACATAGGAAATGAATGTAAATAACAATGAAATGTCAAATTCAGACTTACCTGATTAAAACAAATATCGTTAGCGAAAACGGGCTCAAAGCCGGTACGTTGATATGAAGCCGGCCGGTACGTAGACACTATCGGCAGACTGGTCACTATACACTATAATTTAAAACTAACACTGATATCAAATGCTGTTCTTGCTAACTGTAGATTTATTTGATGTCGACAGAAAGCTCTGCGCGAGTTATACGTCGTATCTCGTGAAGCTTCAACGGACGACTGGGCGGCGCGCAGCTGTGCACTTCTATATATACGCGTGTAGCTACAGCCGCCCGCCCCGCGAGCGTTTTTCGTATTCACGAAAATATCAGTGGAATCCGGAGCCTAATTTCCTCTGTCACTACCTACTCCGACACAATGGGAGCGTTGATCTCTGACAGGCGTGCACCAAGACACAGCTGACCAGATTCTTTAAATCCGATAGGATGACCGACTTTAGAAAGCCCCTGCTTGAACTCCGTATTTGGTAGCGCTGTGTACAGACCTAATTATGGTATAAATACGTTTATTAAGACCGTGATTATCGTTGATGTTTTTATTAATGTCTCGACGTTAAGAAATTAGCACAAGCTTCTCTGGAATGCGAACGAAATTACATGTCTTGTGTTTTGTTTTATCTTTAACAACGGCACAGAGCCTCACAATGCTTGTACGAAAAAAACAGATCAAGGATGCAATTGTTCACAAGCAATAAACATTGATTTTCCTAAATTATTTTTATGGCTTTTGGCAGTTACTTGATTACATTCTTCTTTTTTATGACGTTTAGAAATCATAACTGAAATCAAGATTATGAATTAACCTGTTCAATTAATTATGTGTTTTCTGTTACATGATATTTGTAATCTAAACATTGGAATCTACCTGTTACATTTATTATAAAAACCAATTATCGGTTATGCAATCGTTCTAAAAAGTAGTTAGTGTATTTCGTTTAGAGGCTTACTGGAAGCCTTTAAAAAGTTGTATTTTAATTGGAAATTTATGCAATTATGTCATCGATGTAAGCAGACTTTCTTTGCAGGGCGAAGACCTTTTGCAACGATCGTCAAATGCGTCAGCTAAAATAAGAAAAGGTTCTTACCAGGTTTATTCTTATATAAAACTTACATTTTACGTAAAAAAAATTAAATATCTAATTTAGGATTGACATTTTACAAAAAATTTAGTTACTACATTCAAATGCCTATGAGTCTTTGACATTATCAAACTTCGTAGGTAGATGTAAAGATGTAATATTCATCGAAACGTATCTCATATTTGTTTGTTGGCATTCAGAAACAATCAACAATTTTCAATGTCGTGTAAATAAGCCAAGTTGAAGGCGACGCACCTCCGCCCACCTGTCAATAGGACAGACGGTAACTGACGGCTTCCGGAAAATATCTGTGGACAACTCATACAGAATCTCTGCATATACAACTCACTCTGACATTTGTCTCCGTACTATATAGTGGTGCCGATGTCTTCTTTTTGTTCATAATAAACAGCTCTTCATCATCACAACAGACGTCCTCACCATTTCGGAACCTACCTAAGTTAGGGGCGACTCGGTGTTTGTCAAATACGCCGGCGCAGTGCGGTTTGTTTGTCTTCAATTACATTGTTAACAATCTTCTATTAAACATATGATAAAAAAATTGTATTTTTGTATGTATTGAAATAACTCTAAAACTACTGGGCCGATCTTAAAAATTATTTCACCGTTAGAAAGGTAATTTGTCTGTAAGTAACATAGGCTATATTTTTATTGTGTTTTAATTTCACGCAGACGAAGTTGCGAGCAACAGCTAGTTCCTGATATACTAGGTTGCATCACGATGTTTTCCTACACCTAAAGAATTTCGCTGAAATGATCATATGGAATTCGAAAATCGAATCACACAGTGCTACTTGGTGTTTAACCACTGGGCCACCGAAGCTTCAAATGGTTAACGTAATAATCACAATTGCGAGTTATATGACAAGAGAAAATGAGTACGCGGCCCACATACCGCGAGTAAGCAATAACATTAGAATCATATTGTGGGTAGGAAACGCTCATCAAAGGAATTGCCGTTGTTTTTGGGGTAGACAAATTAAAGAAGCATCAGTACGGATGTGAGATTATAAACGTATTGCTTAATAAATTACGAGAGAGCGCTTTGTACGTTTCATCTAGGGAATTGAAGCTGGAGCTCTATCTTTAGAATTTTAAAGTCTAGGACAGTATTTGTTAAAAAGCACGTTAAAAATAGCTTATGCATAATTATCTACTTTGTGGCGGCTTTTGTGTTTTTTTTACTTCAACTGCAATTAAACTGTAATTTTTCATTAATAAATGGGAAAAAATTCTTAAGTGCTGGATCTAAAATTAAGTTATGAAATTACATCACCGTTGCTTTCTTGTATAAGTAACGATAAGCTTATAAACGTACATTTTATATGCATGCTAAACCTCCAACAGGTACTTAAAATAGCTCAGATTAACAGGAAACCATAAGTTCAGTCTACGTTTCTAAACCAATTTCCCTGAAGGCAGCGTGGCGCAACTGGATTTGTAGAGGTTGCTCGTAGAATTAAAGTTCAAGTTATTTTAACTTACTGCAACCTTATAAACTACGTATTAAAATTATTGAACGTCTGTATATGTGCAATGTACATGAATTTATGTTAGGTATAAACTTAACATTGTTACTTAGAGATTTTTATTAGCGTTTTGTCTTGCTGTTAAGAAAAAAATATATATTTTTATGAATTATTTAAAAATGTTAAGCGGTTAACAAAGAAGTAACAGCATAAATGCTTTAAAAATAATTAAATCAAAATAAGTTTAAGACATCTTAGACTATTCATTTAATGATGTGAAAAAAAACTAACTTTTATCGATAATTAAAAGCAAATAGAATAAGAAAAACATACTAATGAATTGAGAAACTACTTTCTAAAGTGGATAACAAAAATAGAAGCTACAGCATATATATATATACTTTTCCAATAAGAATTATAACAATTCAAAACAACGCTAGTGGTCTTCGACCTATAAGAATAACAATATTGTGGACATCGTCCTCTTTTATCACGTTGTTTTTTTTATAAAAAAGGATTTATGAGTATCCTAAATACAGAACAGTTCACGCATCTTAACCCCCGTTGATCCGTTGTTTATAACTCCTTGAACTCGTCGAAAAATAATGTTGTCTAAATTTTATTTATTGTTATTCTAAGTTCACCAAAGGTCAGACAACTTCCCCATTATTATTACTGTTATCTTCTTGAATAACTGTTAAATCTAAAACAATTTGGATTTTAATATTATTTTAAGCTAGGTATTTTTGCTTTGATAAAAAAGGAGTGATGACGGAGATGACGTATGACAGAGTTATTTGGAGGACAAAAACCTGTTCCGCCGACCCTAAAGGAGTAGAATAAGGAGGATGATGATGCTGATGATTATTGCTTTGAATAATTAAGATAAAGTCTCAAAACACTTATTAGTAAGAAGTAATTTATTACTCGTAATTATTTCCATACCTAAGTATAAGAAAAATTATGATAAATATCACTCACTTCTTTTGTTATAGAAAATAGACACCCCTTTTGTTTACGACATAACGCGGAGACAGCTACGAGACGTAGCGACAATGAGGCTCTGTAGCTACGTAGCACTGTGTTATCGAGATGCTGCGGCGTCACTCGTAACACGAGCTCTGTCCTTGCTACGAGATACTTTTTGTTAACAATGAGTTTCTTTTAGCATTTTAGTCATACTTGTGTATGTCACATTTTTGTATGTATTTTATTTTTTTAATTAACTGTTTATGTTAATGTGACCCACAATACTGTTAAGAAAAGATCCTCCAAAATGCTGTAATTAAAACATTTTTAAATTTAGAAACAGTATAATTTATTAATATAGAAGAGCAAAGGTCATGCAATCTGTGAATGAAACATGAGCTTAGAGATCAAATTATGTGGCATAACATTTATCGTATTTTGCCTTGACTTTTAGAGGCCAAGGGAATAAGTTTTCATACAATTTACATATGATAAATTTGAATAAATTTGATGAAATTAATTTATATTATTTGACTTTCGTAACTTTTTAAATAGTTTTATCGAGTTATGCATAAAATTAAGCTGCATCTAAAATACGAAAAAAATTGCTTATGTTATAAACATATTTCTTTAGCTTGGAAACTAAGTTATTGCCCCCTTGTAAAATTGCTAGTAAATTTTGTAGCTTTAATTAACATGTGCCAGAATGTTTCATAATTTATCCTCTTGACATGTTCGAAAAACAATCTTTTGTTTTGTTGTTATAATGTCAGAGTTACCTATATGATTTCTTAAACATGGACTTGCAAGTGGAAAACTGTTAACATTTGGCTCAAGAACTCTTAGAAATTTTCAGTGTTTGTTTATGTCTTCTTACCGAGTAAAATACCAGTTGGAAAAGAAGTAACTCACGTCAAATTGATTACTTCTGATTAATAAATACAACATTCGCATTAAACTTTGCAAATTTCGACTTATTAATGAACGTAAGAAAATTCTTAAAACTTGTTTATTTTCAATCGCGTTATCCGACAAATATTTTTACTTCCGTCATCGATATATTTATTACGTTGATCTGTTTTGACTATTCAAATCGTCCGTGAGCAGATTGCGATGTTATTTTTTCGCTAATTCAAACATAAAAATACTCTTGCCCATGAAATAAATGAATTTCTTTAATTATTTTTAAGTGATCCAGATACGATAAATAAAATTTGCAGCATAGTATTCTTCTTTTGTTTTCAATGTTATGCAATAAAGAACTCTATCTTTACAATTTTTTATTTACAAGTTCTTAAACTTGGACAAAAAATACTTGGTTAAGTGACTCATAACTCATAGGCGTAGCTATAGCGCAGCACAAATGCTCAGTTATAAATGTGCGTGTGTAGGGAACATTTTACCGATGAATTTAACTGTACAGTTTTGAATTTCCTAAATAAAGACAATTCCTATTTCTAATTATCCTTTTTTCCTTCGCTTTTCCCCTCCTTCTATATTAGAGAAAATGGAAAGGGAAGGCGGTAAATATATCATAGTCTTCAGTTATATTACATGTCAATTTTATTAAAGCTTTGGCCTAATAAAACGTTTGCTAAGAGCACGCAATCAACAACTATGCGACACGGTTTCGGTAACGAATTGCGCTGGCAGCAGATTGCGTGTGGCGC